TCTGTTATGACGAATGCTTTAAGACAGTAAGTACCCTTAAGGAACAAAAGCCATTCTAATCATGTAAGCATCAATGAGCTGTGCTGACCTGGAAATTGATAAACGCTGCCATCTAGTGACGACATTTCCAAATTACAAGCTTTAATTTGGTTTGTTCAATTAACTTGATAATATTCTGATAATATAACTCGCCTGACACTTAAACTTGCTGGTACCAGGTTGGACCCCCTTTAACCTTTAGAACTACCTTAGATTTTCACAGCATAGATTCAACAGTGGAAAACTAAAGGCATTTTTGCCCATGTTGACTTGATAGCACCATGTCAATGAAGCTGTCGTTGACATGATGACAGAGATTTCCTACACATCCATGTTGGCGATGTTCCATCACATCCCAAAGATGCGCTATTGAACGTAGATCTGGTGACTCTTAAGCGTATTTGAGTGCAGTGAGATGATTTGAACTTTAACATCTTATCCTACTTGAAGCAGCAATTAGAAGGTGGGTACAGTGTGGCCATAAAGGGATGGACGTAGTCAGCAACAACAAGGCTCATCAAGAATTTTCCAATCTTCTACCGTCCAATTTTGTCCGTGTGAATTGTAGTCTCAGTTTCCTGTTGTTAGCTGACACGAGAGGCCCATAGTGTGGTCTTCTGCTGCTGTAGCCTCTCATCTACTCCAAGGATTGACTTTTGCATTCAGAGATGCTCTTCTGCATAGATAGATAGAAAGATATTTAATTTATCCTAAAATTAATTTTAGTATAAATTGGATAGTCTACAATAAAAATAAGACTACAGTGTGAGGTAACGCAGAATTCTATATACAACAGTGATCAATCTAGCAATGAATGCTTGGATTTGTAGTGCAATTGATCATCATAAATAATATGTACTTTATACATCCCAGAAAGAGAACCAGGAAGGTTTGATACAGAAAGGTGTGTTCACCTGTCGCAACCTGTTGTACAGCTTCACAGAGAACAGGTGGTTCTCTGAAGAATTCTTAATGGCAGCCAGCAAACATAAATCTGAGAGAGAGTAAGCTGCTGCTTCAGTAATGTGGAATGGAGTGGGTGTGGTGTGATGGAGAGCAGTTTGTTCAGTGACCTCCTGTCTCTCGCTGACTCAAACACCCCCAGATTCTGATTCCAGTCTTGTTGATTAGTTTTTTCATCTGCTGGCATCTCTGGCACTGATGCTGCACCCACAGCAGACAGCAGTGAAATACTCACTACCACAGACTGGTGGAAGATCTCCAGTATCTTGTTTCACACATTGAGCCTCCCCAGAAAATAGAGTCTGGTCATCCTCTTCTTGTACACAGCATCACGGCTGGTCCTCCAGTCCACGTTGTCATTCAGTGAACTCCCAAACACCTGTAGCTGTCCACAGTTTCCACCTCATCAGCCATGTTTTTAATGGGCTTATTCACATTTTTTCCTCCAGGGAGTCAACCACCATCCTTCATCTTACAGGCATTCAGAAGGAGGTGATTTCATTCAGGAGGACTGTCTCTATAGTGCTAACCAACTTAACCACAATGAAGTTAGCTATTAGCTAACAGAACAGTATCCAAAATGTCTTGATGACTGTGAAAAGAGCAGGCTAAAACAGACAACGTGAAAACGTAAATAAATCAGTAGGATGACTTATTTAGCTGTAAAACATTCATATCAATTAAAAGAGGGGTTGTTAATTTAAACCTGAATTGCCCGAAGCTCCTTCTCCTTGGAGAGCTGCTACAGTCTGCACTAGCCGGCTATGCTAAGGTAAGCTAGTAACCTTCCTGGAAGCAGCTTTAAAACACAAAAAGTAGATCACGTTTTTTGCAGATAGTTAACACAAACTGTCTGCAAGGTATCTCCAAAATGAGCTCACTCTGAGATCAGCTCAGTTTTATAAAGCAGAGATGTTTAGCTAGATAATAGTTCATATTCAGCTGCACTGTCAAACAATAACAATAAAAGTAACAAAAATAAAGGTTAGACTAATTAATATTCACATTTATATTAATTAATTAGTCATCGTAATGTTAACACAGATTAATTATGTGTCTGAATTATATATATTATATAAATAATGCAAATAGACAGCTGTAGTGATTTACTGGAAGTGTGTAAGGTGGGTAAAAACGTGATAAATAACCATAATAGAGAATCAAATGACAGTGCTGACTGAAAACTTCCTGTTGAAGACAGGTGGCATTTCTTTGTAAATTCACTATAAGGCAGAGTACTCGCTCAAGTATTGTAAGCAGACTGTTTTCTCAGAATTGTACTGCACACCACAGATATATGATGTTTTTCAGGTAATTTTCCATAAAGAGCTTGTGCACTGATGCACGGAAGCATTTTTGATGAAATCAAAACCATTTTTAAAGCATTCAAAATACTGCGCTTGGTTAGTGGACATGATGATGTAGTATTTATCTTTTCCATTTAAAAGCTGAAGATTACAAAACTAATGAGAGGAGAACTAAGAAGTGGTTTTGAAGGGTTAAAGTGACAAAAACTCCACCTGTCAATAATGACACTCTGCACTCTTCTTCTGCCTTCATCAGAGAGTTTATGGGTGCAATGACATTTGCCTTTTTTTGTTGTTCTGCTTTTATAGCAATATCCCTCAGTATATAGAGAGCGTTGCAGTTTTTATATAAAATAATAACTTATATTAACTCATATAACTTAATCAGTACACATCAGAGCATAATCTATTTAAGTTAAAAGATAACTTACCAACAATAAGTTCAAATCTTGTTTATTACTTTTAACATTAGTTTACAGAAAAACATCTATACAAAACCTTAACTACGGGATTATTTAATCCTTTGCACTTAAACATTTTTGACACACATACTGATTGTTTGTGTCATGTTATTATTTGTATAGTTATAGTGTCGAGTTTGGCTTTTATTTAAGTAAAAATACTGTTTCAGTTGCACCTGGAATTTGTATGTGCAAGCAGCCAAAAGAGATTTTCCTTCTGCAAAGGACAGAAAAGGTTAAAACTAACCTGAAACAGGAAAAGCAAAGAGCTGTGATATGGGCGCAAAGGTCACATGAGGAGAGAGCAGTAATGTTTAAGGTTATCCCTACTTAAACCTGCTGCAGGTGTGCTTTAAACAAAAAATACACTGCTTACCCTATGAAGGCAGAAAAAAAACTGAAAAAAGTGCAGCAGTCCAACAAATCCATGTGTTGGATTTTAAATCTAAAATATTCAACTTTTTGTGTCATGTAGTAATATTAAAAACACGTGTTTGAGGGTTAATCTACTCTGTAATGTACAATATAATGCACCTCCTGTGCTGCTAAACTAATAAAACATTACAATTATAATTATATAAATAAATTATTGTTCTTTCTATCCACATGTTTTTGTAACACCTGGGTTATACAATTTTAAGTGATGCTCGTGTTTGATGCTGATTAAAATTGATGGTCCTTTATTTTACAATCCGAACAGACTGATTTGTCCTTTTTCCCAAATTTTGAATGTTAACACTCTTCATCAGAGCTCGTGGCTTCTTGCAAGATGTCATATTGTATATTCTGTCATTTTCATCAGTCATTCGGTCAAGCTAAATGATCAGATTCCCTGCCAATAGTAGACCAATAAAATATTACCATTAGGCTAATACGTCTAAAAATGCCTAAAATTTAAAAACTTGCTGTGTATATTAAAATACGAAAAGGCAGGTATGACACATATTTCAGTATAATTTCAGTATAACAATTCAGTATAATTGTTAAATGAATAATTCTACAGTTTCCCTTGATCAGTTAAAACAAGTGTGTCTGAATAGTCGTCTGAGGCCACGGCACCTGACCTTCAGAGCAACGACGTTCTCCAAAAATGAGACTTTTTTTAAAAGTCAGATTAAGACGTGTCTGTTTACTCGAGTACAATGTACTTGTAACCTGTTTGTACCAGTTCTGCTTAATGCATATTACATTTCTGCCTTTTCATTCCTGTATTTGTCGTAAATTTTATTTATAATGCATATCTTTTTTATGCTTTAAATTAGAGCAGTTTTTTTTATTTATTCCATATTCTTTTGTTTTTTCTTTCATCTCCCATCGTCTTCTTTTTATTTGATTATTTCTCTGAAAAACACTCTGTGGCTGTCTGTGAGCGTTATAGAAATAATTATTGCGTGCATCCTTGGATAAATCTATAAAGCCATATCCTGTCAGTCACTGATGAAAATGTTTTTTTGTTTTGTGTTGCATACTTCAGCTGCTCAGTTCTAGTCTCCTAGCTTTTGGTCAAACGTGACACCACGAAACACGTCAAAAGCTGGCTTTTAATTTATTTATTTAGAAGCATATGATAAAATTTAGTGTGATGTGAGAAATGCGTTTAGACAACCCAAACTCGCTGTCACAACATAGCCCATTATAGGGCATCTAGTTTTCAGCCCAGGTAGAGCAGACACCATATTTAACCTCTGGATCTGTTAAGCGATTGGAAATATTTAAGATCTACAACATCCAAACTCAGACATTGGAATGTCTTTGAAGAATGAAGGCATTTAGATAAAGCTCAGAAGTTTTGCAAAACAACATAGACGTAGTTAAATTAGTTAAATTAGGCCCCCACACAAACATCCGTTAGAAATAATGAATTAAAGAATTCACTTTACAATCTAATTGCATCAAACAATTCTGGAAAGCAACATTTCACCATTGCGATTCACTCAAATGGTGAATACACGCCTCAGATTAACATTTAAACTGGTTAATACAAACATATGTAAATTGTGTCGAGTTAAATTGTATTAAAACTACACTGTACATATTCGCTAAATGTATTGTATATGTCTGATCTGAATTTGATTTGTATCCAAAAGAACACGGCTGTAATAGATAAAAAATTAAACTCGCCACTAGAAATGTATCTTTGTCATTTTGTAGTTCAAACCTGTATTGTACCATTATTGTTCAAGATTAAAAGAAGATATTCGTGAGAGGAAAAAAGAATGTAAAAATCCCATTTACAATAAATGTAACTTTATTGACAGTAAAAAGTTTTTTAGAATATCGAGGGGCGCGCATTTGTAACTGCAAGAACATCTTTGAAAGCAACATGACTTTTTTTTTTTTAAATAATGAGGCAGTTGTACATCTTGAACTTTGAGGTAAAGTGTTTTGTCATGTTACATCATTCACAAAATATTGTATAACATTGAGTCCACACAAGGAGACAAAAACCCATGCCTCACTTCCACTTCTTGAAATTACTTCACATTTCAAAAATAATTCACAATTTAGATAAAAGCAGAAAATGACAAGCACACATGCTATATTCCATTCACACGCACACACACGTTTCTCTACTTATCAAACCAAGTGCATTTTTAGATTTACTTTTTTTTTCTCAAACAGTTTCAAGTACATTTTGCTTGCTATTAAAGGAAATCAAGTTAAAACTATGAAGCAGCAAACCCACAATAACAAGTAAGAATACTGAGTTTGGTCTCATTCATGTTCCCAATATTAACATTGTCAGATAACTCACCATACTGTAGCAATAAGGTATTTGGGTGCTATAAAGAAGCAGGAGGTAACATTTCATGGACTTGAGGAATATGCTGGAGAAGTTTTGGAATATAGCTGATTAAATACACCAAGGCTGAAACAAACAACACTAAATAGATAATCACAAGTGACAACTGAACATATCCAAAGTGATTCGTTGTTAATTATTTTTTAAATAATTTATTAACTCACTTATATTATGGAAACTGTCTAAAATCTCAGCTTTAAACCACAAAAGGATGGTTTTAGTTGAACTGATATTTAATTATCAGTCACACAATGCAGCAAACTTGAGTGCAGACCGCTGTAGGACTCTGTAGAAGGCCGGCTTCGTTACAAATATACTGGCGTTGCAAATTAGAGGACCAGTTGTTGTGAGTAATATGCGATTCATCAGTGCAGTCGAACAATCAAGAAAGAAAATTGAAAAAAAGCCATCAAGTGCTTCAGCAAAGATGTTCATATATAAGCAGGGAACCTAAAAGTGCAATCCTGTATAGGTACAGCACCCTGGGCTATCTCAGTCGGGCTCTTAATGTACACTGCATGGCTCATGGTCTGATCTGCACCAGTCTTCTAAGGCTCACTTTAAAATCCAAAGCCAACTGCTTTTTAGCTATAATTCAGCCCTGAACTCCCATTTTTGAGTTCATTTCGTTTTTGATTTTCCTTTGAGTTGACTCCACAAACTGTTAAAACCATGCTGTAAACAATGTGTATTCCTACAGCAGCGCACCGCTGTAGGAGTTAAGGCAATCCCTTTCTGTGCTTTGTCTGTGACCAAAGCTCCTCCTGAACATAGAGGCACAAAGCTCTCAGTGCATATTAAGCGTACCTGACACAATTCACAAAATACCCTCCGCAGCAACAAAAATGAAGCTCTTAGTGCACGCTAAGCAATATATTTCTTAAAATGTACATGCCGTGTTTTTCTTAACCGCATCTCCTAAAAGTGCTAACTACTTAAAATCACTTAGGAAAAGATGGCTAGTCAAGATTTTTGAGCACCAGACCCCCCCCTAATTTTTTTTTCACTTAAGAGGAAATCCCCAAAGAAGGCACTTTTAAAGCAAAACCAGGGGTTTTGCAGTATGATTTGATATGGGAGTGCAATCAATCGTAATTTGTCTCTGCTAAACTTTGACTGGTGCAGTACTAAGTTTCTTCACTCGCGTCTGCCTTGGTACAATAGATTCTCTTACAATAAAATCACACAGGATTTAAAGCAACTGATCTGGTGCAGAACAAACGTGAGCCAACAACTTTATAGAGCAGCAGTCACCTCTCCTCATCCTGCCAGCGTCCCCTCTCCTCAGCCCACCTGGTGCTCTCCGCGGCTGATGTGAGATGAGAACTCGTAGCGGTCCTGGCTGCGGTGGCCACAGATGTTGCACTCGAATGGCTGGCGGAAGCCGTGGCAGCCCATGTGGATGGTAAACATGACATGGTCCAGAAAGAGGATGCGGCAATGCCGACAGTGGAAGGAGCGCACCTGCCTGCCATCGCGGTCTAACACCTGCACAGTGTCCCTGGAAGAAATGGGTGAGCCAGGGCTCCTCTTTACTATGGTGGGGGGCACAGGACACGCTCTCTCCCACTCTGGGTCCAAGTCTTTGGCCTGGCTGGGGCTGGAAGTGGGATGGCTGCGGGGCAGTGCTGAGGTTTGGTAGTGGAGGTGGTGGTTGTTGGAGGTACTTGTCGGGGCAGCAGCCCTTGTGCTCTGCTCTTCTGCTGTGCTCTCTGTGTCTGTGGAGTCGGGGCAGCCGTTGGGTGAGGTGGTGTGGCTGTGTGCTGTCGGCTGGTCGTCGCGGCCTTCGCCTGCCTCCCGCACAGCCAGGCCGAGAGACATTGGTGCCAGCCCACCTCCGCCATGGGCCCGAGGGCCATGAGGGGTCACATTGCTGCCGATGGAACCCATGACTGTGCGGAGCTCAGACAGGAAGGTGGGATGGAGCCGAGACAGAGCAGGCGACTCGTGGTTCTCACCTTTAGCCCTGGCACAGTGTAGCTGTGAACCGGCCAGCACAGTCGAGTCGCCAACAGACTGTGAAGTCATGAGGTCGCCCTCTTTTTCAGAGCCAGACGACAATTCGTAAGGTGCTTCGGGTGGGTCAAGGTGCATGTGCTTTTCGCCTATGAAAAGAAGAAATATCGGTTGAAGCAAAGCGTCCCCCAAATTGTTAAAAAAGGATATTTGACCAGCTGTCTTGGCACAACTGAATCCCAGTGTCTCCATTTGGCACAAGGATGTAAAACTGCTTAGCTCTTATGAAGCTAAAAATATATGTCACTTGTACTGTAGAAACATAACAAAGATATCCAACAGAATAAGAAAAGGCTTACTAATATATTTCTACTTCACTCAAAAAAAACTCACCCAAAAACTTCTGTGGCGTTGACCTCTTACGTTTCGTGATGCTTATAGCCAGTCGATCCACAAACTGGATTTTGTCATTGGTTGGCTGGAGTGCAGGTTTAATAGCTGTCCCCATATTTACTGACTCTTCACCTACAAGCAGAAAACATCAGTCAAACATTAATTTATTGCCAAATTATGTGTATAAATATGCTAAGCTGGCATTTACAATATGCATGAAGTCAGAAATGAGTTAGTTTTATGTAACAATAGTGAGTTTTATGTTATATGCCATGTATTACCCTGTGCTGTCTGCGTGTTGACAGCCGCCTTTTGGTCCAGACTCTTTTGATAAGTATGGCAGCGCTCCAGATGTTCCTCCAGTGTGCTTTGTTGCTTGTAGCTGCGGCTACAGTAGCTGCACTTGAAAGGTTTTCCCACCGTCGGAGAAGGAACTGTAATTCAAAGAAAAAAACATCATATTGATTTCATCTAGAATAGCTAATAAGTTGCCATAGCTGGTGGAACTTGTTGAATAAATATAGGACTAATTGTTGTTTATTTATTTATAGTTGGGGGAATTTTTTTGAATGAAAAAAAGGTTTGGATTTCCCCCCTGACTAGCAATTCCTGACACTGACCTATGTTACTTGACAGAAAAAAACGCCTAAACCTTTACCGCAAGGTTCCACCCTAGTAAGCTGTCGGAAAGACTGACGTCAATTCACTGAAATCCAGTTTGTAATCATCTTTTCTTTGAAAATGAACCTTTTGAGACCTGAGGAGAGCGACCAAGACCTACTGTAACAAGACTGTACTTGAACACCTGTGAATATCTGTTCAAGAGCACCAGCAGGATTTCCTGTTTTGATACTGTTAAATGTCATATTCTGTCATGTGTTTTACAGAAAACTCTCATAAAGACCTATTTCCTCTGAGATAGAAAGAAGGGGGAAATGGACCTTTCTAATAGAGCTCCACTTTTACTGCTTACCTCTGTGTCACACATTGCACGTGTTCACGCTATGGAATTGTATTACTTTGCAGCAACAATAACTAAACAAGTACATTTGTGAAAAAATCTCCCCATGGACTGTATATGATGTGTTAGGTGCTGTTGTATGGCTATAAAAGCCCAGAGCTGTCAGCTGATTCTGGCTGTTCTCCATGCTATCCACCAGAGTTGTCTGGCCAGATTATGTATGTAGATTCCAAACTGTCCATATGTGATGTGAGTGTAGCACTTGACAATCTGGCTCAAGTGTTAAAGAAGAATAATTTTGCTGTCTGGGAGGTCACTCATTTACCTGCATGTGTGCGCAGATGTCCAGCCAGTGCATCTCTCCGACGGCAAGCGTAATTGCAAACGGGACATTTGAAAGGCTTCTCTCCTGAATGCAACTTAATGTGGCGCAACAGGTTTCCCTTCTGGGTGAAGGAAGCTCCGCACTGGTTACACTGGAATGGTCGCTCCCCTGTGAACACATGGATGGAAAGAGGATGTGAGAGGCAAATCCCACTAGGCATTGCACTCAACTGATACTTGTCTGTCATTTATTTAAAAACTGCCTTCCTGGAGGAGGGGGGGTCTTCTTTTTTTTCTTACCTGTGTGGCTACGCTTGTGCACCATTAGCACGTTAGGTCCAATGCAGATCATCCCGCACACCTCACACTGGAGCTTCCCATTGGGCAACCTGATAGGTCCTGGTGAAGCTGAATTTGGACTGGCCATCTCACTGTATATGCTTGCTAGGTCTCTTCCAGCCCCAGCGAACTCTGCAGTGGCTTCTTCCATGGGGTCTCCCCGGTCATTGTTCCCGCCGTCGATCCTCACAGCCTCTTTCTTCTCTGGCTGTGGAGCGCCCGATGACTCGTCATCACTGCACAACTCAACCTTGATGGAGTTTGCTTTGTAAAGAGAGAAGGAGAGGAAGAGACATATATTTACTTACTTATGCAACATAAAAAAGGTATTCTATACAACCGTATGGCTGCAATGTAACAAAGGAATGATAACTAACCACTAAGGGAGCGGTGTGGTGAGGACTGCTGACTGTTTGGAGATCTTGCAGAAGGGCCCTGCAGCCCGCCATAAAAATCCTGTTCTGTTGATGATTCTCCTCCATTACCTGAAATACAAATATGCCCACGTTATTAAAATAAACATGAAAGTCTGTAGACAGCACACACCAGCGTACAGTAGTTTTTCCTTTATATCTACAATTACCTTGTGTGTATGAGCGTCCATTGCAGTCATCAGCATTCATTCTCTCACCAGATGCCTACAGAAATACAGTTTAAAGGCAGACTGTAAATACTATGGTTTGCCATTCATAGTTATAATTTCTGAATCAAACAGACTGAAATTAAAAATGCTGTATCACACCTTGGATAATTATATAAAATGTACTTTTACACAACAGCCTGTTGCTTCAAGATTATGGTTCAAAAATAAATAAATAAATGTATGCTTTCTCTAATAAGTTCACTTAAAAAAATGACAAAGTATTATAGTAAACTTCAGGTCTCCCCTACGATGTCTGTATCCTTTCGATTCTTCTCCGCCAAGCAAGTGACTATGAGAGGCTCCACATTTATGGCCAACAGAGCTGAAGGAGGAGTTAAAGTTTACAGAAGTAGAGAGGATAGCTGCCGCGGCTTTAACTATGAGGTATTCCAGTGTGCAACCACAACAAACTATGTGCCTGATTTGATACTAACAGTGCACTGTATGTATATTATATTACATTACAATGTTGAAGTTATATAGCATTATGCTGTATTACATTGCATTATGTATGAGATACAACATAGTTACAATATTATTGTTTTATTGATGGATCAAGTTTGTCAATTTGCACTTATTATTTTTATTATGATGATGATGATGATGATGCACTAGGCTGAATCTATGCCAGGCCTCCATAAAACGATTGTTACACAGCAAATAAAGTGAGGTATGCAGACTACACCAAGACCAGACTACACAGGCGTTGCTGAGTTACAGCGTCTTCAGACATACAGTAGCCTGTGCTCACTGTCATTGAGCAGAATAGGCGATGCTTTAACGATGAACACAATTTCAAAGACGAGATAAGCAAAAGCACAAGACGTTCAAGGCTGCACCTTTTGCTCAAATGGATGACAGCAGTGGACAGAGGAGACTTTGGAGTGATCGTGGAGGGAGGGGGGCGGAGACAACACATCACAGGAAAAAAAAAAATTAATATCCTGTCATTGGCATGGGGAGCAACAGGCGCTGATGCAGCCGGGAGACGCGCCAGTCACACCAGGGCACGGCGATTAAAAAAATAAAAAAGAAATAAAAGAAAAAGAATAATAGAAAAAAATAAGGGACGCGCACCATCGCCGCCCCTTGCTTGACAAACCTTCCTGCCCCAACCCGAGCGACTATGTGCAATAAAACATATTCCTGCATTAAATAACTGCCATGGCTCTCCACACGCAGGGTAGCTACTTGTTTTAGCTGCTCGCTGGATTTGCTTAGTTCTGACAACAATCGGCTCGCGGACGGTCGAGACAACAACGAGACACAACGGCAATTTGTTGCAAGAGTTGCGATTGTCCACATCCTCCGCATGAACGCGGCTGTCATCCAACACTGAGCACGTCAAAACTGGCCTGGGCTATACAATGTTTCTCATGAGCCGTTGCTATGGCACCCGACCACACGACAAATGGCATTCACCCTACCAACTACTAAAAAACATGCCGTACCTCCAAATTAACACCGACGGATGGTCTTACCAAGAGCCGCAGCGGAGTCCACGAGCCTCTTCCTTACCTGGCGACCGATCGGTGTTTTCCTTTTAATTGTCTGAATAGCTGTTTGTTTTCCCAGGCGGCGACAGCATCTCCGGGGTTTTTTTTTTTTTTTTTTTTTTTTTTTTTTTTTTTTTTTTTTTTTTTTTTTCCTGGGAATCGGAATCCCAAACAACTTCCGGGCCCATGCTGGGATACAGACCAAATAATTGTACAACAGAGCTCCTGAGTCGGTGATTGCCGAATTCATCGATGCGTGTCTTCTTTGCGGAGTTGTGGTCATAATGAGGGTGAAATGTGTGCTTTTAGATCATGTCGGACTCTGCACTGCAATTGCTGCTGCGCATGAATATATTTTGTGAAATACTTGATGCAATACGCCGAGTGATCCTCAAATGTTTAATAAAAAACAAAAAAATGACATATGTAAATATACAGTGCGCCTGTATAAACACTACATGTACACGCGTCTTACAGAAAGCAAGCAGATATTAAAATAAAATCAGGTGAAAATTGTTATTATCAGGTGGTTTACAATTACACTTCATCTTTAGCCCCAGGAGGTGGCAGCAAACTGCTGCTTGGTCCAGATTGAATAATGGACTGGGCAGCTGTGAAACACACAGTCGATAAGTGTTATAAACCACAAAGTACAAGTGTCTGTGCGTGCCCTTGATTTATTTTTTCATGAACAATAAAAAATAATGACAAAGCAAACAAGCCTTTAATGAACAAAAGGCAACTAATTGAATCGATTGGGCCTGTGCCAACGCAGAAGGACCTCATAAGCCTCCTGGAGCTTCACAAATATTTCCTCAGCATCCTTGCTGGGGTTGTGGTCTGGATGCCACTTCTTGGCCTGCTCCCTATAACTTCGAGATATCTCCTCAAGAGAGGCCTCTGCTCCCAGAGACAATATCTGCAACATAAACACAATAAATCCAGATGAAACGGGCTAAATGGCAAGCAGAAAATGTAGACCTATTTACAGCATGCATTTCTTACCTTCAGTGCCTCTTTCTCTCTCTCAGTGTATTCTTTGAGCAGTATTTCTAGCACCTTCCTCCAGGCATCTTCATAGTACCCTCCTCCAGTAAGCGCACACAATATCCGATATGGCATTAAAAGAAGGTACTCCAGCACACTTCTGAGCCAAGGCAGGAACCAGAAAATATCCAGCAGTGCTGCTATAGAGTCAGACAGATAGTACAGGGTGGCTGTGGTGTTGTGGAAAATACAGTAAGCCAGCGGGGCAGAGAAGGCCAGCCAACCTAGACCGATCCTATAAAGCCGTGGACCTGAGGTTGGAACAAAAATATTTAACTTCAGGAAGCCACTTAAAACTGAATCAGAATGATTATTATCGACGTGCATAGAGAAATCGTCCAATCATCTCAGATTGGTGAAACCAGCCCACCTAATTTCTGTTTGCTCCCAGGTGTCCGTGGAGGTTTGAACGTGCGGTGATTTGCAGCAGTGACACTGGCAGCCAAGCTTATAGGAAGAGGAGATAACGTGCTGCCATAGAATAGCAGGGAGGTTGCGAGACAAGAAGTCAAAGTCTTTTGGAGATCGGATGTCTGCTGGCCAACATTGGACACCAGATGCACCCCTGCACCCACACATAAAGGCAACACAATCAAGTAGAAGAAACTGAGGGAGTTCAGTCCTATCATGGCCACAGTGCCAAAGTAGACTCCAACACACACCTGTCCTGCAAATCTGACAGGACTCACAGGAGGAGGGATTGAGGTGGGAGGCCTTTTTCTCTCTTTATTTCCTTCTTGATTGGCCTCACTAACATAAGCAGGGATGCGTAGAAATTCCCTGACCCACCCAAATCCAAATCCTCCTAGTGTTAGCATCCATAGCAGAGCATGGGTGTCTCTACCTAAGTACAAATGGTGAAGGCCCAAAGGCCCACCTACTGCCCACAGGGTGTAGGCAACAATGATACTTTTTACCATGAGGCCTCAGTAGATTACCTCCTGTACAGGTGAATATTAGTCATCCTTGATACATACCTGCAATAGAGTAACAAAAAGTGTTAGTTATACCTCCAAACCTCCATCAGTGTTTTATAATTATATTATACTTTAATCAAATAATTAAAATGGAAATGTTCAGCTTATAATTTATTGGCTTTGATCTTTAATCCCATGCGCTTACATCGCCTGCTAACATTTTATTTATTTATTTCGTTTCATAACTATACTGTGTTACACCCTCCTCTGTGATCTGTCTGTTGGTCTTTGCCAGGACACTCAGATTTTTAATCTCTGCTATCCACTTCCCCGGTTAAATAATATATTATATAAGAGGATTTATCTTAGCTCATGCTGTGTATTGTTAGTTTTACTCAACTCATTATGTGATCCGAAACATGCCATTTTTGACAAAGAGTGCAACTATCTTTTTTGATCGATCGAAGATATTTGCTGTTCTTATACATCCAAATTGTATTTTTAAAAAGAGTTGGTTACTTACTGAGCCCATAATTTCAAATCCTTATCCAGAGAAATCCTTTTCCAGTGCTTTCCGTAGTTGAAGTTGCTGCATGTTGTTGCAATAGTTGGACTTTGGATCATGACAATGGGATTGCGCAGCGGCCTGAGTGCATAAGGCACATCAACATGAGCCTGTAATCATTTAAACTGATAAGACGAGTAAAAAGGCTAAAAGCGACATTCATGAAGAAAAAAAGGACACTGTTGACAATGCTTCAAAGAGGGCTTAAGTTTATTTTGTAAGGAAAATAAGGACATAGCCTTAGGCCTGTATGCTAAACTTCAGCATAGGATAAGAGTATAATCCTGCTCCGCAGTGAAGCCTGAAACAACTTCACTACAAGGTTTTTCTGTACAATTTTACTTAAAGGTGTATAATATAAGCTTAAAGTATAAAACTTAAGTTATATCATATTTTTTTTAAATCAAAGCAAAGCACTTTTATTTTGTAAAGTGATATTCATTATCATATAAGCTAAAATATGAGATAAATATTATTAATACATAAGTAATACTTAGCATTATGCCTGATTATGAGGCTAACTGTATGTGATATAAGTAGTATCCTTGTGTGCTGGAATATATCTGTTAATAATAATAATTTAGTCCAGACAGAAATAAAGGTTTAAAACTTATTAAACTTTTGCCTATGATGGTATTGTTTAGCCTTCCATCAAAGAATTGCTACCAGAACTATAATAGGGGAACAACTTGCTTGATGTTCAATTTCCTCAAGAATAAAAACATTTTGTTTTGGAAAATGGCCAAAAATATAAAAAATAAAATACACATACTTCAGTGATGTAACCTAACAAAGGCTCCTTACCTTAACTATATACTGACCAGGGGTATTTATGTGTGCAGAACCCCAGTGACCACTTATAAGCCAAGAAAAACCCCAATTGACCCTGATATTAATACCCCAATAGTCAGAAAATGTTTGACAATTTATTAGGCACACCAATCTAAAACAACTGAAATAAACCTAGTTTTCATTAAGGTCATATTCCGTTTCGTTAAAGGTGTCTAGGAGAGATGATTCTCATTCTGTGCACCCCATTTATATCAGTGAGGGTAAGTTAATGCGACCAGCATCTCTCTAAATTAGTTTTAGCCAAGTGTAGCTACCTGTTCAGTCAGTGGGTGTGGACCACACGCTTACCTGGAAAGTAGGCTGGGTCCACATTAATATTTCAAATCGCTGCCAACACAATAAGCTCCCGTGGCCCCGCCCCCTGCGACCCCTCCTTTGCTGGGCTTTCGTCGGAGCTGAGCAGCCTTGCAGCAGCAGGTTAGCTCTTTAAAACCGAGCGAGCTCTGCTAGCTACACATCAACAGCATATCCAGAGAAGATGCGAAGTCGCTTAAGTTTTTAACTGTTCCACCCGCCTCCAGCGCTTTTAAGCCTGAGGACACTGTTATGGTTTCGGAGAATGGAAACGGACGACGTGTCGGTTAGAGAGCAACTTTTCCACAACCGTGTCCGGGAGACTATAGTAAGTAACGCCGAACCAACCCAACCGTCAGTTACTATGCTTATGAGCCCCCCCCCCCTCGCAAACAATGTAAGTCGCATCACTGTAAGAAAGTCGCCTCAGTTAACGTTGTTTATTTCACTTAACCTAGCGGTAGCACGTTGCTGTTCTCAGCTGTAGACTGCACGTCTTACTTTCTCAAGCGATAACAAGTTTGAAGTCACTTAAAAAAAAGTGATGATAACGATAGAAATTTGCTCGCTCCCCGGGCTAGCTTAACCTGTTCAAACTTTAACTGTTGCACGGATACAGCTGGTAAGCAGGCAGCAGAGAGGCACAGCGTTTTGTTAATGTTGATGCTCTTTTTTTCTCCTCTGCTGTTTTATCGCAGTTTTGTATAATAGCAACAGCAACTATGTGAACCTTAGACGCGGTTCAGTTACAGCAAAGCACACGGCTTCTGACCTTTAACCCTCACATCACATCAGACTGGGGCCCGACTACTGAGATTGGAGATCGCTGAACCAGCCTATCATAAAAGCATCGTCAGGCAACACTATCACCTTCATATCTTAGCATCAGGAGTCGATTCATCAACTTGTTTTGCTTTGCTCAGCTCCAAGTAGTTCGTTCTGGTTTGCAGAAGATCATGAGGTGAAAAAAATGTGAGGTTTTAAGGAACAACGTGTGTGTGTGTGTGTGTGTGTTTATAGATGAGTTGTATAATATGAAAAATAGTGATTCCTGTGGGAGACTGAGTCACTGCAGCAGCAAAGAAATCAGAACAGGGCTTACTGAATCCAAAAGAGCATACATTAAGATTGTGATCAGTTAGACTGCTTTTATTTGTATGACGAGTCAAATTCTTGCTTTTAACTGTAAAACCTCTAAAGAATGTAGTTTTTTTTCCCACCGGCTTGGGAACCCCCCCCTTTTTTTTAAGTGTTAGGCTGAGATATTTGCACATTAGGGCTGTTGGTGGCTTTTTTGTCTGCCCACATTAGGTATCAGAAGCAAGATTACATCCTCTGGAAAATATCACTTAAAATAGCATTCTACATTTGGTAGGTGGTATATATTTTCAGTGATAGATAGGATGCAGTTATTAATAAACCAAAATCAAATGAACAGCAAATAAAGTGCTTGCATTTCTTCTAATGCCCTTGTTTTGTCATTGTCCCTTTCAAATACCTAATGCTATTAGCAAGTGGCAAGTCTCAAGTCTCCAGCTTACCTCCTCATCACAGTACTTCCTCTCAGGCTTGTCAGCTGCCCCAGCACCTCTGGTTATTAATGGCTTTAGGCCAAGTCTATCTTTAATCAGCTTATTTTAAAGTCATAAACCTGTGGCAGAAGTGCATGTATGCTAGTCCGAGAATAATATTTTGCCCTAACAAAAAAGGCTGGATGAGACATTTTTTTTAAAAGTAGAAGAGCAACTCTTTGATATCCAAAAATAATGAAATAAAAATAATATTATCCATCCATCTTTTTCCACTTATCCAAGTCAGGGTTTCAGTTGAGCTGAAGCCCATCCCAGCTGTCATGGTGAGAGGTAGAGCGAACTATTTACACTTATGGCCAGTTTACAGTCACCATTCGACCTAACAGGTATGTCTCTGGACTGTGGAGGGAAACGCACACAGGTAGAACAGAGTCCACAGCCAATGGATTCGAACCCAGCACCATGTTGCTTTGAGATGATGATGCCAACCATCGCACCACCATGCTGCCATTTTACTGCATTGTATTTGTATTACTTATCAGTTAATCTGGTGATTTTTTTTTTTTTTACAGTTGTTTAGCCTATAATGAAATATTCCAAAAGAGAAGCTAAACTGACTTATATTTGCTTTAAAATAACTGAATGGCTATCAGAACAGCTGCTGACTGAGCTTCTGTGGATAAACGAATGGTTTACTTGGGTAATTATTGTAACTCTTATTCATAAATAATATAATAATAGATATGCGTCAATTGTGAGATGCCAAAAACGAAACAAAAGAAAACAGTGTTTTAAATTCTTTCAGTCTTTTACAGGTCTGTATTTGAAGCTAGTGTAAAACTGATGTTCGACTACAGACTACAAACATCAGCCACTGATATTTCTAAATGTCTGTTTATTTACCAATAAGCCAGAGGCAGTCAACGAGGCGTGTATCATCCAATAGAGATGTTTTTATACCAACATGTCCTTAGCCGATGCATATAAATGCTGGTTTAGCTACTGAGAATGCTCTTGTATTAGATATCCAAAACATGCAAGCAGCTGTACCATTAGTGCTTCTTTTTTGATTCTGAGGAAATGTGATGGAAAAATAATGCACTTATCAATGCACAGGGTAGATACATTTTTCCATAGGTGCATGACAAAGATATGCTATAAAGGCAACAAACATGCTTGCAGCTATTTGCCTGTCATGAGAACAGACGAGAGTAGTTTAATAATAATAATAATCAGTTAGATATCTTGTTGGAGTGAAGACAAGTGGTAAAATTCTGTGCTTGACTTAAATGGGGGGAAGACGGTATTTATGTGAAGTATGACACTTTCTGGCTTCTGGTCAGAAGCCTCCCAGTTGGTCCAGTTGGTACCGGATTCCTAAAAGTCGACAGTAATTCCAAACAAATTCTAATTCGATGAAATGTACCATACCTGTTTGGCCAAAGGCATAATAAACAGTTAATAATCAGTGGGAAAGTGTGATTACAGCCAAGTGCATGTCTTCACTTGAGCTGATTGTGCTCTTGTAAATCATCTTGGGTATCAGCAGATAGTAGAAAATTGAAGCGTAGAGAGCCTAGCTCGGCTGTGGGGGTAAACAGCCGAGCTAGGAGTACTCGTCCACAGACCACAGCCTGAGCCTGGTCGGATCAAGAAGGATCAGTGTCTAGCACGATAAAAGGTCATGATGATAAAATCTTGCAGCAGAGAACTGGAACAGCCAGCATCAGCACACTGATATCTATTCCCCCGCTTAGAAAAGAGCACGGTAATATTTGTATAATACCTGAGTCTGAGGCGCTCTGACTGAAAACTATAATAGCTCAGAACTGATGGGTTTGAGTCTTAGGAGGGACTTTCTGCAGTACTTTTGAGAGAAGGAAAACAGTGGGCAATGTGTTTATTTCCTGATGGATCATACCCCCCACCTAATTTTTTATTTATTTATTTTTTTTAGTTTATTTGTTATTGAGAGACTCGATATTGAAACACTTCAGTATTAATTAATAATTATTGCAGACCATTAAATTGTGCGTAAGGTGTCTACTTTAAAAGTGAGTCCAGTTTTGGAAGAGATGCTTTGTCTTCGTTCTTCAGGGATTCAAGGAAACTTTATTGTCATTCACATCACATGTTTACATGAGGTGGAACAAAATTACATTTCTGCTCTGTTCTTCTGCTCCTTTGTAAATTTTTACACAAACTACAGGGCTGGGCAACATGAGAACATTTGCACTTCAGCTGTTTTTTGTTTTCGTTTTCTTCGGCAGAACAATTTTTTAATTACTCTGTGGATTGTGAAATAGTCTGCGTTGACACTTTGTGTCACGCTAGAGCCTGAAATTCTCTAAACTCTCCCCTCAGCAGCCCTCTGTGGCCCGCCAGCTCTCAATATGGCCAATTTAGCACGTGTCCCCCCCACCACACTCTACCTGTTTCTCACCCAACCTTTGTTTCCTACTTTTCTTGTTGTTGGATTAACCATAACAAGGTCCTTTCCAAATCAGACTGCATTATTCAACAATTTACGCAGACTGAGCTGATTAGTTGTTGCGCACAGTCGTTTGTTTTTTCCATGGTGCAGCTTTTGTGCTGCCACTGATCATTTCCTCTCGCACAGACTCTCTGCTGTTTTTTTTATCTCACACAACAAGTGCAAGATTAAACTAAAATAACAAACTTTTGTGTAAACTCAATTTAGCAACAGGTTTTATACGACGTTGTATTTCTGCAGAGAGCCTCTCCCTCTGTGTTTGTTGCTGTTGTTACCTTAGGGACAAACGTCTTCATTGTGCTGTGCATGCAGGGCTCCCCAGAGGCTCCGAAACAGGAATGTTTTCATTGATACTTGTGGTTTGGCAACATCAGTTCATTCATGACTCACAGCAACACTTTGTTGCACGGATAAAAATGTATTGACGTGAAATTAATGCCACACAGTTTAGCTGTCAGATAAATCAGGATTCAGCATTAAACAGTCACATCTTCTGCACGGTCAGCAGCTTAGCTTACATTGCTGAGCTTGTCCAAGTTGCTCAGGTATGTTTTATACTTGGGTGCGTTTCTGAGCAGGAGCTACCATTGGTGCTTGCTTATTGTCTTATCTGTGGCAGGCAGCGGTTTGATCCATTGTTGTATTAATGTAAAGGGATTTAATTAGAGTTGGCATGTTGACGGCTTTCCCAGACAACAGATTGCTGGTGGAAGACTGGTTTAACCTAAATTTGTTGCTTTAATGTAATGTAAGCAGTGTGGGGGGGATCGCTCACCCACTGGCATTAACCCTTCTCTCTTTTACTCTCTCATAATGCTTCTCAGTTTATCACAGTGACCCTTTTTTTTGGACCAAACGGGTAATCTTCAGACGTAATCTGTGTCTCTCTTGGCGTAGGCAAACTTGCACAGCTAAAGTGGAAAGCATTTGGCTGTGTGAGGAACACATTCTGTCTTTTCTCTGCTTTCTCCCAACTTACACTAAACCAGACATGTCAGCAGTTTAAAATACATCTATTGCTCATTGACTCATTGATTAACATAGCATGACAGGTGGTTTACATAGCTAATCTTATTTATGTAAAACACCAGTCCCTTTTAACGCCTGTCCTCGGACCTTTAAATGCAAAAATAACACCAGAATTTCCTTTGTTTCTTCTGCAGATCTGTGTTCTCCTGTTTACTTGCCTTTACATGCTGTCCTACCTCATCCTTAACCAATTCAGGAAGACGGCAGAGTTTGTCACAGGTGAGTTTTCTGCGACACACGAATGCTGCTGTGTGAGAACGTTTTCTATCAAAAGCTTCTAAAGAATTGCCTGCAGCAGAATCAGTGATGATGTTGACAAGCACACTGTCTACATTGGTGAGTGGGTGGAAGCAGGCAATACTTTTCAACCAAGCACAGGTGTTGTTCAGAAATTACCCTTTCTATTTTGAGCAGTCTTTGTTTTCTAGTTTGTGTGCAGGCTGCTGCAGGATTTTTCTTTTGAGCTTTATTTGAAGATTCTTCAGAAACCTGAATAATGCTCAGGCAAGCAGTAAAATCAATATAGTTTGCATACGTGAATGTACCACATATGCACCCTAGCAGGAAGGCAGCTGTGAGCTTAGGGTTAGAGTAACTTAATGTATTCACCTCGTTAGGCTGAATGCATGTGAACCATACACATTTGTTTTCTGACTTTTCGCTGTCTGGAAAAGTGTAGTAAGATATGTTTTGGTGAACACAGGCATTATAAAAATAGCTAATAAGCAACCTTGTACATGTACACCAACAGTTACGTAATAACTGTTGGTGTACATGCCCATGTCGTAACACTGCCTCCACCATCTTTGTGGTGTCCTAAAAGTTTTCACCTTTTTGTGAACCCTCAGTATTTTCATGAAGGTAAATCTGTATTGTAGACACTGACAGTAACACTTTTACCTCTTTGCTCTTGAATTGTTTAGATGTTATGAAGGTTTTTTTGTTAACCATCAAAGTAATTCTGTATTCATGGACTTTATTTGTCTTCCCGTCGTCTTTCAGGCCTTTTGTTGATGCTGAGCTGGGCAGTAAATGTATTCTTTTACAACAGCTGAAAATCTACAATTAATTCACAACTGGATTGATTTAAAATCCATTGTGTCAATGTACATAAGCAACATTATAAATAATGTTATTGTAAAAAAATGTTTAACACAAATGTTGAGAGTTCTGAAGTGTGACTGCAGAACTTTCAACAGTTACATAATAAATCCAATAACTTCCCACAATTGGAAGCAGATGTGAGACGTCCAACTAGTCAGGTCTCTGTGCTCCACTGTGATTGGGTGGGAGTCTGGGAGATGGCCAGATGCTTTTTATTTTTTTCTAAAATAGGGAGCAAGGAAAACCTGCTGTATATTAGCTCACTGCTGAAAAAGTCTGTGCATCAACAACAATGGAACAGTTGTGCCCTGCAGCTAAATGACAATTGTGCAACAGCACTGCACAAAGTTGTTTTTGACTTTAAAGATTCGAGAACTGGTTTTTGCTCCTTAGGCTTATCTTCATATTTCTCCTCTGTGCCAATATTGACACAGTAAGGAAAATACAGTACTGAGCTACAGAAATTCAAATAGTGAATTACAGACATTAAGTTTGTAGCAAGATCTTAAACATTTATTCATTTTTTAAAGCCTAAAGAGGAAATGGAGACATTTATAGAAGTGTTTGTTTGGTATTCTTAATTCCCCGCTCTTTCTGCATCCTGCCTATAGGTACTTCAGTTTTATTAGAGTCTGCGTTTTGCTTGAACAGAATGTTCCAAACATACTCGTCCCCCGCTTACTCCCCTTTCTGAAGCCGTTGCTTTTTGCTGCACTTCTACACACGCCCAAACTCACGCACACTGTATGTGTTCTGTGCTTTCCTACAATGTAAAAGTCAGATAGTTACATGTGAAAACAAATGAAAGTTTGTCTGTTATGTAATGAGTGTTGCTCTGTTCTCTTGTAGATGATGTTGAAGATGCCACTGTCAACAAAATTGCGTAAGTGAAAAACCAACTGATTAACTAGCTGGTATCAGTCTGTTCTCACTCACGTGTAGTGCCGCTCCATATGATTGAGCAGATACCAAGTCAGTGTGACATGTGTAGTGACCCAATACCATTTGGCTTTGGATTTATTGCCCTGCCTTGTGTGTGTGTGTCTGCCCTTTGTCCTTACACGCTGGCACTATATTACCTTATTCACGGCCACTATAGCCTTTCATCTACGCTGTGGTGTTTGAGGCTAAACATAAATAAATGCACAACACTCACAAATGGTCTTTCTTCTTTTTCCAGGCTGTGGCTGTGCACATTCACCCTGTCTGTCGCAGTCTGTGCTGTGCTCCTTCTCCCCATTTCCATTCTGTCCAATGAGGTGCTGCTCACCTTCCCACAGAGCTACTACATGCAGTGGCTCAACGGATCTCTTATTCATGGTACATCTGTCCACACCAAACATCAAATAGAGATCTGTTTTAAAACTGGAACAGGATGAACAGTAGTGATGCCCTCTAGATCAATATTAAACAGGCCTGTGTCCAAACTGATGATTATTACTGACAGAGACTTCACTGTTCAATTCAGTCAAGTTTTCCAATCTCAGTGGAATGCCAGTGTCTCATTGTGAAGAACTGTAGTGCTGATTAATGTGAAAGTAACCTTTGCTGTAATGTTTTTAGCTTATTTTGTTCTGTAATTATCGCACATTGCAATGTATGTATACAGTCTTGTCAGTATTGGGAAGGCTGAGCCTCATGGTGGCCGATCTGGGTACTGCTAACCAGTGTT